AATACAATCTTAAAATATATTTAAGGAATATCTATATAGAAAAGATCTTATAAAAAATACTCAAACTCAATCATTAATAATCAATTTCAAGAAATTAAACTTACTTAAAATAAATTTATTATCTATTTTGAATAAAATTTTAAACAATATAAATTCTTATATAATCTTATCATTTCAATAAAGAATAATATTAACAAAAATCAAGCAACATATATAACAATCTATTGTATAGCTACTTTGATTAATTTATATTATTTGAAAAAACTATTGAATACTATCTAAGATTACAAACAATTATAACAATAATATTTATAGAAAAATTTATTTCAAAATTTACTTCAAAATTTCTATTATAGCTAGATACATCTATGAAATCTTCAAATACAATTTAAACTAAATTTATCAAACAAAATTCTTTTCTATAAACTATTTTTTTGAAATAATAAATGAAATTTATTTAAATAATTTTATTTTTTATATAAGAAAACTTAAAGGATTTTGCTTTTTAAGAAGGAAAAAATGTGATAAAAATAGTTTCTAATACTATTGAATAGTTATTTTTAACCATGATCTTTAATTCTTTTTTTTTTTTAATTGCTATCTCAACTATATTTATTAGCAATAATAAAATAAAATTCAAAATATATTGAAATTACTATAACTATTAAGAGTATTATTAAACTTTCTAAAACCTAACAGTTTATCTGATTGCATTTATTGCTCCAAATCAAGAGAGACTAATTTAAAATTACTTTTAAACTAGTGTTAATAATATAAAAAAAAATATTAGAATGCTGCAAAACAAAGACTTAAATTTTCTTTATTACTGATTATTCACTAAGACTAATATTAAGAAGTAAGTCAATATCTATGAATTATTTATCAAAATAGTGTCTTTTTATTTTTGAAAGGAAGAGAAGAAACTTCTTCTACATCTTCTTCTTTTCAAATAGAAGAGGAATAGTTTAAAAATCTAGCTTTATTAATATTATCTTATTTGAGGGTCTATCTAATAAACTATTAATTCAAAAATTAGATGAAACCTATAGCTAAAAAGATACCTTGAAATCTGTAAAGGGTTGATGATTTAATTCTAAAGATAATACTAGCTTTAAACATAAGCTATTTATTTAAAAAGATATAACTCTTTTAAAGTTAAGCTAAATTTTTTAGGAATCTTTTAATTTGATAATAGTTTTTAACAAGTACTTTCATTAAAAATAAAATTGATAAGTACTACTGGTGATCTAAATAGTTATACTTGAGCTACAGCTTTTATTTAGCAAATTTGAATTTATATTTGATCCTTATAGGATGTAGAATATACATTCATAAGTCATACTTAGTAACAGTATAGTATATTTATATACTTTTCTTATATATTACTCTATTATATCTTATGTATACTAAATAAGTACTATATACATCAACTATTCTTAGCAACCTATATATATTAGCTAATTTATTTAAATCATTCTATATATATAAGTACTATCTTATTATAAAGCTGTATTATACTTTTTTCATTATTTCCAGTACAATTTTTATTAAAAGTGGGTTGATTATTAGGCTATTAAATTTTCTTTATCCTAGATTTGATATTTTAATCTTTTGGAATCTGTGGATTTCTTCTTTCATTAATATCTCTAAAAATTAAAACAGAGCTCTTTATTTACTATCTAGTACTTGTATTTGATTTTTAGAAATACTTTATCAATCTATTGAATCTGGTTTTCTTATTATTCCTTTTTTTTTAGAAATAAAGTAATCAATTCAAGATTGTTTAATTTTGATTTAGAAATTGGTTTAATTATAATTTTTATATAGACCATCTATTAAGTAATAAATTCCTTCCTTATTGATCAATAGCTATATTTGAAAATGTCAAATATATATGGTTAGACTAATAGATTTATATTCTTATTTTTTGTGGGGTTTGAACTTATATCTTGTGATTTAATCTATAGAGTACTAACTATTATATTATTGATCCAAAAGTTCATAATTATCAATTCTATTTCTATTTTTATCTATTTATTTATAATTATTTTATTAATATTTTTTGATATTTTTATTGATACTTAATTAGCATAAATTACTTTATCAAATATAGTATATGATATAATTTATTATAGATTAGATAATTTAAAAGACTTATGAGACTTAAGTAACTTAAATCATTATTTTTACAAATATATAAGTAGTTATAATTTACTTAAAAGTAAAATAAGTTTATAGGAATAATTTTATTTTTTTTTTGAAAAATATGATATTTTCTTTTGATTTTTGGACTAAAAGAATTGTTCTGGTTTTTTTGATTTATTAATAAACTTGAGTTTTGAAGTAATTATATTTCTTGTAAAATATTGTATAACATTATTTAAAGAAATTCTTTTTTTTTTTTATATTAAACCACAACTAGTATTAGATGTGAGCTCTTTATTAATAATTAAATCTTAAGCATTACATCAATTATCTCATACATATACAGTACATGCAAATTAATAATAACCTATCACGGCTTGTTCTAGGCAGACCTGTTTAAAACCTTTTTATAGGTGGGCACACCTGATTAGAGACCAGATGGTTAATAACAGTTATCAATAGCGATATTGATATAGTTAGCTAATTCTATTAATAAGGGGCTACTATGCTAACTTATACACTAATGTCAAATCCTCAAGGATTATTTTAACCATTCAGATACCCTGATACTTTTCACTTGAATCTTGAAAGGGATTTCTATCTTTTTTGTCATCACCTGTGGTATCACAAACAAGTCCTGTTCGATAGGTCCTTTATTTAAGCAAGCACTAGATTGGGATATTCCAAGTTAGGATGGTTAGATTCCAGAGTCTGCTGGTACAGTTTTGGGGTAAGGAATGTTCAGACAATTGCCGCAGTTCTAAAAGCAGGATTCTAAAGTCTGTTGGTACAGTTTGGGGTTAGTGTTATGTTTAGACAATTATTGCAGTCCTAAAAGTGGGGTCCTGAGATTTGTATCCTATCTAGTTCAGAGGGTTAGATTGGGCATAATTTGTGTAATCAAACCAGAGGTCTTTCTTTATGTAATCCTCACAATTTATCTTTTTCAGCCTGACGATCAATAGGAAGGTTAGAAGTTCCATCCTTGTGCAACCTGATTATTTTTCTCACATGGTCCTTGTATGATATTGAACTCTGAACCTTGTGATTATGACCTGAAAGCACTACCACTGTGCTATAGACCCACAGATCTTTTATTTAAAGAAATTCTTGACAAATCTATTTTTAATTTTTTTAAAAACAATTCTACTTGAATATACTGGTCAAATATAAATTTTATTACAATATGAATTAGAAAATTAGTAGAAAAAATATTTATTAATATAAAATAAAAATTTTTAATAATAATAAAATTAATATTAAAATATAATATAATAGAGGACAAAAAAAATTAACTTTTTTTAAAATATATTTAATTTAATTAAGAATTATTTAAATTAAATTAAACTTAAAATATAAATACTTAAAATCTAAAAATTAATTTTATTTAAAACTATTTTATAACTTTTATTATTATTTATAATTTTATTTTAATTAAAAATTTTTATATTATACACAAATTTTACAAACTAATATATATAAATTTAATTTTTTAAATACAGTTTTATATATAATTTGTTATAAAATAATATATAATTTATAATATTTATACAACTTAATATATAAAAATTAAAAAAAAAATTAAAAATAATATTATTAAATAAATATAAATTATTTTAATTACAAATTATTTTATTAAACTAAAATATTTATATTAATATTTTTTTATATTTTTTAAATAAATAGATTTAAATTATAATAAAAATTTAAGTAATTTTTTTTGTTCTCTATTGTATATATAAATTTTATAATTTTTGATTATATAAACTAAGAATTTAAAAATTATTTACAGTAGTGATCTGCAAGTAATAAAGTTAACAATTGAAAGGATTTTTATCTGAACTATTAATAGAATAATAAATCATTTTTAAAGTTAGACTTAGAGTTTTGATAAATTTCAAAATATTGATAAGTAAGTTAGATAAAATTTAACTTTAGTATATAAATATTTAATAAAGCACATACTGTATGTCTAGTCTAATAGAAGGCAATCTGTAAGCAATAAAGTTAATAGTTGAAAGGGTTTTTATTTGAACTACTAATGAAACAAGAAATTATTTTTGAAGTTATACTTAGAATTAAATTAATTAAAATAAATAAGTTACTTAAAGTTTTAACTTTAGCAATATATAATATATATATAGTTTATAAATTGTTTAATAAAATATATATAACTAATCTGACAAAAAAAAAAAATTTTTTTTTAAATTTAAAAATTAATAAAGTTAAAATTTATAATAAAAAAAAACATAATAAGTGAACTCAAACTTTTGAAAACAATAGTATATAGTAATTTTCTTTTATTTCAATAATAATTTGCATATTATAGTTAAAAGGATTTTTATTTAAACTATTAATAAATTAATACTATATATTACTTTTGAAATTGTATTTAAAAGTTAATAATACTAAGATGAGTTAAGAAATTGGCTTTAATGATATACTATATATTATCATACTAACCTGACAGAGGATAAAAAAAATTTAATTAATTATAAAATATTTTTTATATACTGTATATGGCTTGAATATAATAACAATAAAGGCATGATTTATATTATCAACAACAGCAAATGCACTGTGACGTTTCCTTGATTTATTTATATATACACATGCCGATTTTATTTCGTTTGCTTTCTCTACTTTCTCATACACACTGAATCAAGAAATTTCATCCACCTTATTAAGACTTATTCACAAAGAACATATTCTGTAAATTAAGAATGTCTACACCACGCAGAAGGATTGAGACTGATGTAATGAAGCTGTAAGTAACCAAATGTTGCGATTATGTTTTATACATCGATAATTATTCTCCTAAGTTCAATTTCTATTTGTGGGATCTATATAGCCTCATGAGCGATTATGAGGTCAATCTTGTCAATAATAGCATGCAGGAATTTTACGTTCGGTTTCATGGGCCTGAAGACAGTAAGCTTGTTCATACATTTTTTTTTTTTCCTTAGTGACCTTTATTCGCTTTTTTTTTTCTGCGTTCATCACTAAGATCTTGACATGTAAATCATTGAGCACCTTTTGCTGGCGGCGTTTGGAAGGTCCACGTTGAACTCCCTGATCAATATCCGTTTAAATCACCGTCTATCGGATTTATGAACAAGATCTTTCATCCCAACATCGATGAATTGTAAGTATACCGACAAATAAAATATACAACTTGGATTACTAATAAAATTTCGGGTCTCTCCGAATATAGGAGTGGTTCCGTTTGTCTCGATGTAATCAACCAAACTTGGAGTCCAATGTTTGGTGATTTGAAATTCATTCTATGTCCGATTTGTCTTTATACTCTGTAATGTTTTAACTAATAGTAGCTGAAAACGATAGACATGATCAATATCTTTGAGGTATTTCTTCCGCAACTCTTGAGATATCCAAATCCCACCGATCCACTTAATGGTGAGGCTGCCGCGTTGTTAATGAGGGAGCCACATACATATGAAGGCAAAGTTAAAGGTAAATTAACAAATATTATTATGTACCTTCCTTTCAAGCTTCAAATTTGCTTATAAAAATTAAACCCATCATAGACTATGTTAACAGATTTGCTACGAAGGAAGCAGCAGATGCGGCGACAGATGAAAGCTCTTCAAGCGATGAAGTAAGTTCCGTGGACTCTTATTCAGACGATGATGAAAATCCGGAAGCTGATTCATAACATGACAATCTTGGCGCTCATGTTTCAAATTACAGCATATTGATCATAGTATCGATATATGTTTTAAATATAACAATAATTTAAGTTCATTGCCAAAGGAGGTTTCACATTTTTAATTATTTCATTGGTATTTACAAGTTTCTTTTTTCTGTAGCTTCATAGATTTTTTTTTTTCGCTTTATTACATTTTATTTGTCGATTGTTGTGTCTTCATTTTACAGTAGACAAGATTTTTCCGGAAGATGGTTATTTGATTGCATGTGAAGTCCATTAAAGCAAATACATCGTAAGTTATAAAAATTCATGCAGTAAATTGCACCTATGTGAATTAAATTATCTTGGTAATCTGAACTTGAAGATTTATAAGAAATAACATCGTAAAATTAACTATCTTAATATTAATGCATGAAATTTAAATAGACAGATGACAAATAATGTAATGAAATGTTTTAGTGCGATCCGGTAAAATTATGGATTAAATTATATAAATTGTAAATATGATTTTCTTGATATTTTACACAATAAGATTATTGCAGTCGTAGTCTCCAAGAAATGAGTGATGCGGAGGGAAGACCTTAATGCATTTTATTAATATATGAGCTCTCCAAAATGTGCAATAACGATATTTTGTCTAGAACAGTGGGAAGCTCTTAGTATTTCCTTTTCCTTATCTCGGCGAATCGTTATGATGTTGATTTGAAGTGAGGTTTCTCAGTAATAATACGATATGTGGGTTTGAAAATGTTCATTTGATAAGAGTCGATCTATAAAGACCTAATGGAACATCATCATCTTCATCCTCACCGCCTGATGAATTTATTACTTTCAAATTCTTCTTAGATGTAGATGATTTAGGATGGCCATGTCTCGGTCCAGGACTTACTGGCCGTGGCTTTACTGGGCTTTTCGCTCGGTTGTTCGCTGAGTGTCGGGCATTCGATGAAGCCGTCAACCGATTCTTAAAAGACAGCAAAGATGACTTTCCATTTTGAGGTGGTGACCGAGTGGGTGTAATAGAATTGCTTTCTCCGTCAAAATCATCCGTGCTCCCATTATAATTAAATGTCGCCATATTATCACCATTAAAGAAGTCTTGATTGTCATCAAGGTATCCGCCATCCGTCCCGTCCGAAACATAACCATCACCGTGATGATAATATCTACGACTGTGAATCTCTTCTTCGGAAGAGTCTTCCGAATCACTGTATGCCTCAAGTTCCTCATCATGTTCCAGAAGATATGATTGTTTACCTTGTGGAATAGGAGTAAGATATTGCGAAACTTGGGACATATCATACTGTGGAGCTTTGTAAGCTATTTCTGCATTAGAACCACCACGCCTTCTTGTTTCAGAGAATGCACCCTTCCTTTCACCTTTCCTCCGTTTACGACCTCCATTCGACTTGCCAACTTTACTTTTTACTTTTATCACCTCTTTTTCCGCATTAGGGTTTATCTCTCCACCATATTCGATTTGTTGTTTATTGATTAACGAAAGATACCAAAACATCATATTGGATATTAGCACTTGTTCATGTAAAGGACGGCGAGGGTTCGCTAGCTTACAGTGGGAAAGACGATATATAGCACGTTCCACGTGAATAGGAAAACGATTGTTATAGTTGGTATATTTTGTTTTTTTGTGAGATTCAGCTGTTGGTGAGGTTGGAGGATGGTCGGACATAGAGTCTGTGGTGGCTACATTATCATCGCCAGGTTTTCCTTTACTTTGGGAGCTCCATGAAAAAATTGATGAGAAAGACATTTTGGTTTTGTTTGTTGGTTCTGTATTTTCATTTTCGACTTTTTCTGCTTTTTGTTTCTTACTCTTTGATTCTTTATCTTTTTCGTCTGAATTAGCGCCAAAAAGCCATGAGGTCCATGTCGACGTCCTTTTTTGTTGCGGAGGATCAGTCGGATCCGGTGATGTTTGTGAAATTGATGTCGGCGCCGGTATTTCGGCAGTGGTTTTCGACGTGCCAGCAGTGTCAACATATAACTTTGTTTTGTCAGGTAATGAAATCTGATCTTGTAGAGAATCTGATAACTCATGGGCATTTTGAGGAAGAGAGCTCGTTCTACGAGGTGCAGGTCCGTTATCATCCTTTAAAGTTATACGTATGGGCCCTGAAATATCACTAGACTCTATATAATCAAGCTCGATATCATTGTTGACCCCATTTCTATGAGGTAATAATGTAATTTCTTCTTTGACAATTTTAGATTCATCTGATTGTGGCAATACTAAAGTACTAGAAGGATTTGGGTCCGATGTTTTCTTCGCACGAATTTGCAGTAAACGCCCATCATTACTCTTGTCAGATAGTACGTGAGTTGACTTTGTCCTCCTATGTGCTGAAAATCTTCGAGGATTCTGTTCTCCGGCCACCGAATTTCTACGAATTTTCGTACGAGCTGTACGTTTAAGTGCTGGTGCCATTCTCGGGATAAGTACGGGTGAATCTACGTTGACAGGAGAATGCCGATCAAATACATTCGGATCCTTTGGATCAAAATTAGATCCTAGGTAATTAAGAATTTTAATTTTAAACCGACCAACATTTAAAATTAGTAGCTTCTAATGTAAGCCCGGAAATTTAAGAGAGCGAAATAAATTACGCGAGTACATGGATTACATGGATTAATTAATAATTGTTCTTTAAAAAAAAATGTCCTACCTGTGAACGGAGAGAAATTCAAACTAATGCTCCTCCGTATTACATTTAACTTTGTTGATTCTAATGAAACATTCATATTCTCATCTGATGCTGCAAATGATTCCCAATCAAAGCCAGTCAGTTTCTTTTCAGCAACTATTTTCTCGGGCTTTTCGTCTTCATCATTTTCTGAGGGTATATATTGCCGGGAAAGAGTTGATTTACGTCTTCTCAAAGAACTTATTCCCGAGCTATAGTCATCTTTTGCATGGTTTTTCAGCCACTTTCTGAATTCATTCGGAGCTATTTCTGGGTGTAGATGTGCAGGCACCCAAAATAAATGTGATGGATTATCTGTTTCGATATGCAACTCCTCAGTGATTGACTCGGCATTGAGGTTATCACTAAATTCAATGTTTTCTAAACCTATTATAGACTTCCTTTTAAGGGTAGCATCTATTAAGCCCGAACTTCTCTTCTCTAGAGAACCCTCTTTCGTTTCACCATTTAACTGTGTGGCAGTGACAGCTTTTTCCTTTGATTCGTTATTTAATTGTACAGCAGAAACTTCCTTTTCAGTTGAGGGATTAGCGGTGGTTTGTTTGGAGTTGATTAGGTCAGATGAAGCCTCTTTGCTTCTAACAGCAGTCCGTTCAGTTTGAGTAGGAAGATTCTTTTGCGTGCCAGGGCTATTCGTTTGTATGGAATTCTGAGAGTCGGGTACATATTTTTCATCTGGTGGTTTTATGTTTGGTTTACTTGGATCGTTTACTTCAATTCGGGTCAAGTTTTTTTCTGATGTATCACCTGTTCCAAATACTGCATCTAGATATTTCATCGAAAACTCCAAAAGATTTTCTTCTGGTTCGGTTGACATTGTATGTGACATGTTGAGTTTTTTATATATGTACACTTTTCGCTGAGTATATGTTGTTGATATGATAAAATATTTTCTTCGACCTTCCTCAGGTCATATAAATACTCTACGTCATACATCAGCACTAAGAAAATCCCTGAACATTTCTAATTAAGTGTTCATTTCTCGGAAACGTGAGCCTATCACAATTGTTCAACTGACCCCGAGCTGATCACAACTGGATACATTCCCAATCGGTACTTCGAAGATTAAAATATTAAATCAAAAATAAGCAGTTTAAGCTAAAATTGACTTAAAATAATTTTTTTTTTTTTTTGCATAACTCGCAATCAATTAGATAATAAGTATATTCACTTAAGCTGCACGAGACATATTACAATTTTAAAAATATTTTCAAAAATTATTATTATATTTCTTATGATAATTAAGGAAAGTTATTATTAATAATAAAAAAGTTTCTAGAAAAAAAATTAATTATCAAATATTTAAAAACTTATTTATTTTTGAAATAAGTTATTATATTTGTTTGTTATAAAGTTTTTACTTTTATAATTTTCTAAAAAATTTTATATATTATATTTTAATTTAATCTTAAATTTTTAAATAATATCAAAAAAAAGTATTAATTTTATTGACTTAATTATAAATTTTGTAAAATAAATATTGACTTCTCTTTTTTAACTATAAATTAATTAATATAGTTATATTTCTTTTTTTATAAAATAAAAAATAAACAAATTAATTTTTTAAAAAATATTTATTAATAATTTTTTATTATATTACTTTTTTTTTTTTTTTTTTAATCCATAGTCAAATTAGTATAACATATCTTTATTGTATATATGCTAGATATTTATAAATTATTGTGACTTTTACATACTAACTTACTCATTATCAAAAAACTATTTTTCTAAATACAACCTAGGAAATGATATTTTATTTCTTTACTAATTTGAATAACTCATCTAATTAATAAAATCATTGTCTACAGGTCATTACTATAGATTATTTTAAGTTCTATCTATAGTTAAAAATTAAACTATTTAATTCCATAATAAACCCAATCCTTAATTATTGCTGTATACTTTTTTTTTTTTTTTTAAAATGTCTTTCAGGTTTAGATTTTTTTGGAAGTAATAGTGATGCTTCTTGGTTTTATCTAGTTTGTATATCAAGTTAGTACTTGTATTTGTTATTTTTTTATTTTCTTCTATAATGTTCTGCTTCTTTTTCTATTCTATAACTTTGATATAATACTATTTCAGATTTTCTTTTTGAAGTTTACTCATATTTTTTGACAAAGCTTGTTAATTATACTTTTTATAATTGCAAGTGAAATTTTGAATTGTTCTTTGAAATACTTCTTTAAAAAGATGATCTTATTTTTTTTATATATATTTATAAATAGTATTAAAAAGGTTTCTGTCATATTTCTAAATCTTTTTCAATTATTTGTTTGTCTAGTCACTTGTTATAGATTAAACTTCTTTCTTATTTTTTATTTCTTTACTAATATATTTATTAATTTTTTTATTTACTTTCTATCATATGTTTTTTTGATTTTCCTAATAAATAAACATTCAAAGAGATCTTCTAATATCTCTCTTAAAGTTTGCATATTGAACAAGTAGTTATAGTATATATAGTATATTTAATTTTTTAAGTATCTATAGAACTGAAAATTTATTATGGATTAGATTAGTTAGAAAACTTTTGTCTTTATTGATCTTGAAAGAAGTATTAAAGTATTGGTTGAATTGAACTAATTTTAAAAGGTTAGCCAATTGATAACTTTGTTATTTTAAATTCAAAGATCATAGATTTTTTTCTGTGTTATTTAATCTAGTTCAATTTTTTTTTATTAAATATTTTGATAAAATCTCTAATATCAATCTCTATTATATATTTTTTTCACGTGATTATGGTAAGAACTATTTCTAGATCTGATAATTGATGTCAGTTATTATATTCTTTTACCTGATCTGTTTAGTAAATAAGTCTATTTGATTGTTTAATTATTGATTCTATAAATATTGACCTTCAATATTTTCAAATTCAGGACTTTTTTCTTTACTAAATCTTTATTTTATTTTATAATAATCAGTTGATGATTCTCATCTATTTTCTTATTAATGTTACTATTTGTAAACAAATAGATTTCTATCACTAGTTAAAATTATGTCATTCGGCTGCCAAATTATTGCCGAATTTGACAAAAATTAATAATAAAAAGATTGATGAATTATTTATGATTGCTATCACTTGGCATTAAAAATATTGACAAAAAATCAGCAAAAAAATATTAGCATTTTGTGAAAAAAAATTTAGTACAAAATCTGACAATATTGTAACAAAAAAAAATTTTGCATATTGCGACAAAAAAAATTTTTGCATACTGTAGCAAAAAATTAAACAAAAAAATTAATATTGTGGTAAAGAATTTAGCAAAAAAATTGATACTACAAAAAAAATTTGGTAAAAAAATTACTACAGCAAATAATTTGACAAAAAAATTACTGCAGAAAAAAATTCAGCAAAAATTGATACTGTGGTAAAAAATTCATCAAAAAAATTACTGCAACAAAAAATTCAAATTTCATGAAATTTATTAAAAAATTATAAATTCAATTAATTAAATTATTCATTATTTTCTTCTTTTTCTTTTTCCTCTTCCTCCTTTTCTACTTGCTTTTCTTTTCTCTTTAAAGATCTCAACTTGACTCTTTTAAAACTAGCCCCAATTAGTTTTATCTTGCCAAATATTTTCTGAGATTTTTTATTTTTTTCTTCTAATTTAACTGCTCCCCGAATTTTACCCATTCATGCACTTTTTTCAGTTTGTTTCTCACCCTCTGAATATATTAATGATTCCTTATATTCAATAATTTTTCATCTTTTGGATTTATCTATCGATTTTTTACCTTTTCCTATCTCTTTTTCTTGTTTACGTTTCAAAATTTCTTTCAAACTATATGCTTAATTCGGCAAGCCTTTTGGTGAAATCATATCATAAAAATATGAATTGTTACAATATTATTTATAAGTCAGTTGAAACACTTGAATTGATTTTGAATATTCATCTAAATATATCAACAAATTTTTTAACTATAAGAAGTAATATGATTAATATTGTAATTATTCAGTATATAATATTTTGCTTAAAAATATCTCTTCAGAACACTAACTGTAATCATATATATTTATTCTTCTTTTAGTGGGGTTTCCCAGATCAGTATCACTTTCTTTAGGTGAATGTATCTTTGTTTCTTTAATTACATCAGTTAATTCATTTCAATATTTGGCAACTTTTTTAGACCTTTATTCAATAAGCGATTGTGTGCTTTTAATTCTTTGTATCCTTTTCTTAATTATTTGTTAAAAATTAATACTTGAAAATAGTATAAATACAGAATATTATTAATCTTACTTTATTTAACTAGCTATTTACATATAAGTAACGATTGTCCACTTCCAGTTTTTCAATTTCTGTCTTCTGATATCTTCCTCTCTGATAGCAATATAAAATACCTAACTATTCATTTATTTGCTTTCATAAGAAATTAAAGCATGGGACTATGGATTTTACAATATTAATTCGGGTATCAACTTTTGTAATATTTTTTATTTACATCACTCGAAAAAACTTTGTCTACTCTCAGTTTATATTCATTAGGAATGGTTTTCATTAATACCTTTATTTATGCTCTTGCTTCTTCTGATTTCAGCTCATTTTCAATAATCAGTTTTATCAGTTTTGCCTCTTTACTATTCCTTCTAGGTTGAATTTTCGATACTTTTCTAAACTTGACAAACTTTTAAATTCTGATATATTGGCTGCTCTAGATTCTACAACTACTATAGAATCAAGTTCAGGTTCCACAAATTTGAGTTGATCAATTTTCTTTTTTAAATCTTTTATTTCATTTTTTTGCTGTTCTAATTCTTCGAAAAACTTGTTATTAATATATTCTATTAGGTTCAATTGTTTTACAAATTCAATATTTTTTCTTTTTAGTATTTTGACCTGTGCACGTAATTCTTCATTTTTTAAATAAATAATTTGATTAATAAAGATAAAATTTAATAATTCAGTAATAATTTAATTCTAACCTTTTTCAATATCCTCTTTGATTTGAGTTTCAGGTGACAATTCAACTTCCAGTATTGATATTCATGCAACTTTAGATGCCAATATTTTAGGAAATACAATAGATGGCCTTCTCCTAAACAATTCGGCAGTTATAGTAGGGATTAAAGATTCAACACTAGGTGTTACTGAATAAACTATTGCCATTTCTGATGCAGTTGATACAAAGGAAGTTTGCGATAGTAGGGAAGATTATAAAGGCTGTGAAGATGAAGGTGGCTGTTTTCTATAAAAAGCATGTCCAGTTGGTTTTTTTTGGTCAGACATTTTAGGTATCAGAAAAAAATATTAAATTAAAAAGATATTTAAATAAATTATTAGTATTGTTTTAATACAATTCAAGGTTGCATACAATATTATACTATTATTCGTTATATTACAGTATATTACAATTTGGAGTCACATATTATATTATACTATACATAATTCATCATATTACACTTATATTATATTACAATTTAAAGCTATTTAATATATTAATCACAACTTTATCACTTTATATTACTATTTGTCAATTTCCAAAATGTCAAGAAAGCATTCAATTTCAACTTTACTAAACGAAAGTTTAAGAAAAAATCTCAAAAAAGTGAAAATTACTTGCAACTATGGTAAATGCAATGGATCACTTGTTGATCCATAAACAGAATTTTCCCATAGATATCGAAAAACAAAAGACGAACATTCAATAAATAAAAAATTTACATTTTGATATAGAATAAGAAATATTTCATCAAGTTGAATTATGTCGTTAAGCAACAATCAACAAAATACGAGATTAAATAATACAAGTTCTAAAAATGATAAATCTGAAGTTAATGAAGATAAAGAAATAGATGATATATTTGAAGATTAT